CGACAAAATTATCGCTTGGCGTAAGAATAACGTCTGCAAGCAGGCTAGTTGCTCTGTAATGGTTAGCAAAAACCCACTATTATAAATGTACTACATAAAATTGTATATTGTACAAGCGACTGAACACGATGGTTCAGAACGCAAGATTAGCATTGTGCTATATAAGGTAAAAATAGAGCCATTATTTAGCAACATTATAAGCGACCGTCATTCCGACAGCAAGAGCTGCCACTCCATATTTAAAATAATTCAGCCACTTTGAAGCGGACTGTCCATATAGCAAGCCATCAACCATATCTGGCTCCTCCTTGAGCTTCTGTCGAACTTTGGATGGACTCAGACTTTCTAAATCATCTTCTAGGGCACTCTGTGGTAATACACAAGTAGAAATTTAGTGTTAGCATGCCAAAATGCTTACTTTGATGCAGTGGGCCGACTTAAATAAATAAAAAACCTCGTGAAATATATACACCCAAAATTAAATACCCTAGTCAAATATTTGAATGATAAAACTCTTGATAAATATGATCAACAACATGTACAGTTCATATATCGACATAAATAACAAATTATTTAATATGTATATAATAGTCTTAGTACTATAAAGCTAAAAGTAAAAACATTGGGGACTATCGAATATATATATACCGGGTGGCGCAAAAAAAAGTATAACTGTTTGATTACATATAGCTCAAAGACCATAAGCAGTAGAACCCAAAATCAAGTTTCATTGCATCCAGCGATGTCTAACTTAAATTTTGGTATATTCGACAGGCATTTTCGTCCAAGATTGACTGAGATATGAATGTTTAAACTTTTGTTAGCAAATTTGAAATGGTCACAAATTAGCTAAAAACGACCTATTAAACTGATTTTTAGCTAATTTGTGACCGTTTCAAAATTGTTAACAAAAGTTTAAATCTTATATCTCAGTTAATCTTGGATGAATATGCCTGTCAAATATACCAAAATTTAAGTTAGATATCGCTGGATGCAATTAAACTCGATTTATGGTTCTACTGCTTATTGTTTCTGAGTTACAAGTAATCAAACAGTTGTACTTTTTTTTGCGCCACCCGGTATATATATATATATATATATATATATATATATATATATATATATATATATATATATATATATATATATATATATATATATATATATATAATATATATATGATGTATATTTGCAAATTACTCTTATTCGAACTGTAATGTGTATTGTAATATGCAATCATGCACCTCAATACAGTTCCTCCAATTATAAGCTTGTCCAACGTGGACCTATCTTTAATTGCATCATACCACCAAATGTCATGAGAAGGCCATGCCCCAATACTTCAACCGCAAATATCCACATTGTATCCGAATACCAAATTGACTTCTCCTGTAAGTCTCCTGCAGTTTTGTAAGAAACCGAGGTCTGCCTCTTAGAGCGCATTTTTTCAGCATGCATGACAATACAATTGATGAGGGTTTTATCAAGTTCCCATGCATACAGGATATCTATACCTTTATACAAAATGTTGCCAACTATCAACATGCACATTACAATTGGAATGACGGCAGGTACTTTAAGAAACGATCAGCGAACTACAAGAAATCTCTGAATAACTTTCGTCATTCAACAGAAACGGAGCATTCGAAACTTAATTATGCTTGAAAGCATAAACGGAATGAGAATTTAACCTCAATAAGATTAGAACTAACCTCATATACATGCATGCACCGTGTGTCGATTGAAAATAAAGGAAAACGAATACGGACCGGATCCGGATCGTTTCAAGCATTACAGAATCTGATGTTTGTTGAAAAGCATTGAATATTTCTGATGGTGCACTGTTAATTTTAGGGTGTTAAAATAACACCAAAAAGTGGTGTTAAAAAATTAGGTAAAAAATAACACTACTTTTTGGTGCTATTTTAACACCACTAAAAAAGTGTTAAAATAACACTAGATATGGTGCTAAAACAACACCCATTTTTAGTGTTAAATTAGCACTAGTTTTTGGGGTTAATTTAACACCTGTTTATAGTGTTAAACTAACACCACTTTTAAGTGCTAAAGTGACACCAGTTTTAAGAGTTGATTTAACACTTATAGTGTGGCGTTAAAATAACACCTGATTTGGCAGTGCCAAAGCAACACCTCTTCCTATCTGGTGCTAAAATAACACCAGATTTAAGGTGTTGATTTAACACTTTCAACCAGGCACATTAAGACACACACAAAAGAGAAATATAGGTTCAAAATTGGTTA